CCTTGAACCCTTGAGGAGCCTACTGCCTCAGCCTCCTGAGGGTTAGCACTTCAGGGATACACAACCATACCCTGCTCTCTAAATTAATTATTAACAAAATTGGAGAAATATTACAGTTATCCCTAGTTACAAAGAAGCTGTATTTTCAGAAAAGTTCCATAATCTTGCATAAGATTAGGTAGAACTTTCATAGGTAGAGCCAAGAAATTACTCTGGTCCTTGGACTCCAAGCTCTGAATTACCATATTTTCCACATCTTTTAAACGGAGAAGAGATTTGGGCACTTATATTGTAAATTCACTTGTGCCAACTTACTATATTTAACTATTAAATGTGCTTTTGGTAAGATAATGGTGGCTTTAGATGAAAACAAGTTATTGGGTTATATGTATTAAATTAGGTCTTAAAACCAAGTTATTAAGTGACATTTGTAAAAGCAGGTATAAAATCATTGTCTATAACCTCACTGAAGTCTCAAGCTTTCTGAAGTTTTAGAAGCTCCAACCCCACCCTACAACCCCTGAAGGCAGATGTGACAATTTTGCAGAGGTAGGATCTTGGTATCAGGTAGTGGGTATTAAACAACCTATAGCCTCGGAATCAAAGGCTGAAAACAGGTCTATCTAACCTCAGCCCTGAACAAAGGCCCACCTTATTTATACTGAAGGGTAGGAAATATCACTAATGCACAAATTTGATTTCCACTAATTTCTAACATTCACTATACTAATGAACCAGCTACTAATTTAATTCATGGAAACATTTTTCATTTTAATTTCACCAGTGAGCGAAGCTTCAGGCTCTGTCAGAGTCAAAGGGAACCAAGGTCCTGGAGGAAGCCCCCAAAAGAGTGTGGGGGCTTTGAGTAGATCCTAGAAGACAACTCCTTTTTTAGTGTCTACATCCAGTTAGGCTGGTTGTCTGCCTAGGATTTCAGAAGCACACAGCTACGTTGTTTTGTCTTTGCCCTATTTTAAAGTAAATTGTAGCCATCATAAGCAGCTGTTAGCTATTCTGAGGCCAGTAGAGGGCAGGTATTATGTACTGTGGACGTGGGGCTCCACCTGGAGGGTTGCCTGAGGCAGAGAAAAGATCTCCCAAGCCTGTTCAGCACACTGGCTTTTCTTTAACTTTGGAAAATCAAGTTTTAAAGTTCTTAGTGTTTTTTCCATTGAAGCAGTTTATTTTAGAAAGGACTTTCTGAATCTGGAATCAGGTTTACCTTATCCGAGACATGGAAAAAATTCTGCTCCTTATTGTCAAAGCAATAAGCACAGGTTGATTTAATCAAGAGATCATTTAATGATACTGAGCCCAAACTCCTGCCAAATCTGGATACGTGTGATTTTTAGCTCACTTCCACTTACCTGGTACAGTTACTGGTGCCTTGGAGCCCATCATGCATGCCACCATGCATGAGGTAAGTCTTGTTGAGACTACAACTCAGGAATTTGTTCTTTGGTTAAAATTATTGACTAGCTTCCCAAGAGCTTGGGATTTTCAGAAATGTAGAACTGTTTATCTTTTGAAGCACTTCTCCCCTCCTTAGGTGCAGACCCACTGCTGCTCCCTGAGACGAATTGGAGTGTCAGAAAACACTTTCCTAGTTCATAGAACAGGAAGGGGCCCCACATAACTCACAGGAGGGAACACATTTGTTTATATCTTGCAGGGTCTAGATTGGGTTTTTTGTTTGTGTTTTTGAAAAAGTATTTGAAAGGAATTAGCTCAAGTGCACTGGGACCCCAAATTTTGATTTTTTTAACCAGAAGACTAGCATTTTAAGAATTCTTTTTCAGTTTAACAAATTAGAGACATAATACATTATGGCAATTTGGTACATGTATACAATATGTAGTAATCAAATGAGGATATTAAGCATTTCCATTTCTATAAAAACACTGGTCATTTTTATGTTGGTATTTTTTTAAATGTATTTAATACAGGGTGTATAGGGTCTAACTAATAAACATCAGACTTGTAGTGATCCTCCTGTTTACAGCCTCCCAAGCACTGGGATTACAAGCGCACACCACCACGCCCAGTCTCAATCGCTGTCTCAGTGTGCCCTGGGGTTGGGGCCAGCATGGCAGGCCCAGGGATCAAACCCCTCACCCCTGCGTCTGCCTAAGCAGGTGCTTTAGTCGGCTGAGCTATCCGGCTGGCCCTTATGTTGGAAATTTTATACACTTCTTATTTGTGACTCAAAGGTAGAGGCAGTATTTTTTGGCACTGCAAAACTGTAACTGCCAAACATTCATCTCAGATTTTTAAAATTTATATTGTGGTGTAGCAGAAAATCATCACACATATGAAGGCACTCACGCGCATGTGCGAGCGTGCACACACACACACACACACACACACACACTGCCAGTCTGTTAGTTGCCCAGGTAATAATAGCTCCTGCTACAAGTTCCTGTTGCTTCCATCTCCTAGAAAAGGCTGGTTGTCCTGAACCAGTGGGTCAGTCAACGAAGGTCACCTGGGGGAGGAGCAGGGAATTGAAGAGGGGGCAAAGGACAGGAGACGCGAAGAATAAAGACAAGACAGGATTCTGATCAAGTCTCGTTTATTTAGGGGAGGTGCTGGGTATATATAGTGGAGGCATAGGGAAATGACGTGGGCGGGTAAAAGGCGCGAGTAACTAGGCAACCGGACTATGACAGGAAATCCCACCTCCGGGGCATAGCAGGAGACTTATGGGAAATAGGCGGGGTGGGAAGGACCGTAAACTTAACTCAGCAGGGGAGTAGAAACTTAAGAAGACGGCTGACACTATTATAAAATGGATACCAGTTAATGGCCTCCCACAGCTGGTCACTGTGAATGCCCAGCGGGTCGCTGGAACACACACTGTAAGAACCAGTGACACACAGCCAAGTACTCTGCTTCTGTACTTCCTTCTTGCTTATCCTACATAAGCCCAGAGCACCAGAAATCAAGGCCTGACATTTGAAGAATGATCCTGATCAGTGCCCATTGTGTAGATAAATCTGCCTCCAGATCCTGGGTGTCATTTCAGTGTTTCTATTTGCCATTGCAGTGACACTTGTTACTAGTTAAAAAAAAATTATGGGGCTGGTGAGCTAGCTCAGTGATCTAAAGCGCCTGCTTAGGCAAGTGCATAGGGACTGCGGTTCAATCCCCGGCACCACATGCCCCGCCAGCATGAGGCCTTGGGGGGACAACTAGACACACACCATAACATTAATATCATCAACTGCATTAAGTACCAGGTTGTGAGAAAGACCAAATGTACTTTAGAAGAGCACAAGAGGGGCTGGGGCGATGGCTCAGTGGAATAAGCACTTCCCTGACAAGCACAAGGGCCTGAGTTCAATCCTGAGTTCAATCCCTGGTTCCGAAAAAAAAAAAAAAAAAAGCACATGAGGCCAGAAGTGTTGACAAAAAAGGAATTTCATTATTGTTGCCCATGCCTAGAGGGAAAATACATGTTATTTCATCTACTGTAGATCTGAAGTGGAATGTGGAAAGTGAAGAGATCCCCTGTGCATGGATAGCTGTGTTTTTCAGCACTCCGGACAGTAGTGGAGAGCACAGGACTAGTGGTTGTGCTTCTAGATCTCATGGACAGAACTTTAGTTTTCCATTTTCCTTGGACAAGTTTGGAAATGAACCCCTGAGAATCATCAGATGGTCATATGATGGTGTTATTCCGATCTAAGCCTTTAAGATTGTTGAAAATTGAACAAATGAAAATGATGCCCTGTGGCCATTTTGCATTTATATATATTAATTTACATGTCATTGAAACAAAGCACACTATGAACTTGAAACAGGTAACTGGATCTGACCACTGTATTTGGGAAACCTCTGAGGAGAACTCAAATTAAGCTCATGACTTAATGCTGGAATTCTTTGAGGTGAACCAGAGTCTTTTGATATGAAAAGAAATCATCCTACAGTTTGAAAATATGTCTTCTTAGTTTGAAAATATGTCTTATTAGTGCCAAGTTACAGGATTACAGTGGCTTAGATAACTGGTGGAACTTATGGTGGATTTAACCACATTGAGACAACATAATTTTTTTATTTAACCACAAATTGGAGATAACACATATAAAACATTTTAGAAACTAGAGGGCAGGTGCCAATGGCCACTAGCTTTTCAAAGCAGCAGTCAATCAAAGAGGATTATTATTCTTTTTTTTAATTTTATTTTATTTATTTGAGAGAGAGAGAGAGAGAAAGAGAGAGAGAGAGAGAGAGAGAGAGAGAGTGGTGTGTGTGTGTGGCCAGCTCAGCCCACCAGGGGGCGGGACTGGCTGGCATGTGGTGCTGGGGGATTGAACCGCGGTCCCTGATGCTTTGCCAAGCTTATTCTAAGTAGGTGCTTTAGACCACTGAGCCATCTCTCCAGCCCCAAGGAGAATTATTATTCTGATACTGTCTCAGAGAGCAGAACAGGGTCACCAGTGGCTTCGGTTATGGTGTTTATAATGTGCATGGTTAATTATAGACACGGCAATGAGGCACTATGGCCTGTGAGGGGTTGCTGAAGGGATCTAGTGCTGTCCACTATTTTATTATGGAAAGATTTCCCAAAAAGTTTCCTGTTTCCAGCATAATTGCACTGCATCTGGCAGAAAGTCATGTTTTTAAGGTTTGTTCCTACAAAAGGACCTTCTTTTCATAGTGGCAGACACATACATACTACTATTACAAAGTCTGTGGTAGTTTGAAATGAAGTACTTTGGAAAACTTCAATACATTAACTATATAATCCCCTCTCCATAGGTACAAAAGATTTTAAAATGGAGCTAGCACCCACTGAACACACAATAAACAAAGTGATTCTACAGTTGAGAGAGTTAAGCCTTTGTTACAACAAAATGATTATTTAATGAGTTTTTAGAAGGCAGATTCTGTTCAAATGAATAGGACGTTTTCCATCTTGTTAGCTTTGAGTGAATTTCTCAGCATGCAGAGTCATAAGAGATGCTGTGTCTCACTCTGTTTTTTTCTCTCTGTTGCAGAAGCCTCCCCAGCTTTCCGAGGATGATGTCCAACTAAAAAGTGAGCGAGACAACGGTAGTCACCTCGTAGACGCTGCTACCGGCTCTTTTACCCTGGATCACAAAAACATGGAAATTGAGGTGTCCATGACAGAATGTAGTAAAAGTGTTCCCGGAATCACCTCCACTCCCCATTCCATGGACCACCCTTCCCCTTTCTATTCACCCACACACAATGGCCTCCTCACACATCACCATGAATCCCTGGATAATGATGTGGCCAGAGAGATCCGATATCTAGATGAGGTATTGGAAGCCAACTGCTGTGATTCTGCCGTGGATGGAACTTACAACGGAACATCCTCCCCTGAGCCTGGTGCAACGATCCTTGTGAGCAGCATAAGTCCACCTGCTCACCTAGCCGCCCAGCCTGATCCTGCCAAGAGATCAGGAAGGCAGGCTCCTCCTCACATTGAGCTCAGTTGCTGCCCCTCTGACACCATGGCAGAGGAGGAAAGGGCGAACGGCCACTCTCCTGACCAGCTCCAAGACACACTAGGGGACAGCCTGCAAGCACCTGTGAGCCCCAGCTCCTCCACCAGCTCTCGCTGCTCTTCCCGAGATGGGGAGTTCACACTCACCACACTGAAGAAGGAGGCCAAGTTTGAGCTGCGTGCCTTCCACGAGGACAAGAAGCCCTCCAAGCTCTTCGAGGAGGATGTGCGTGAGAAGGAGCAATACTGTATCCGGAAAGTGAGGCCTTCAGAAGAGATGCTGGAGCTGGAGAAAGAGAGACGGGAGCTCATCAGGAGTCAGGCCATGAAGAAGAATCCCGGCATTGCAGCGAAGTGGTGGAACCCACCCCAGGAGAAAACCATCGAGGAGCAGCTGGATGAAGAGCATCTGGAGTCACACAAAAAGTACAAGGAGCGCAAGGAGAGAAGGGCACAGCAGGAGCAGCTGTTGTTGCAGCAGCAGCAGCAGCAGCAGCAGCAGCAGCAGCAGCAGCAGCAGCAGGCACTGCCCCCAGCACAACTCTGCACACCACCACCTTCCTCTCATGATTGTCCCGATGGGACTGAAAAGGCAAAGGAGGACATCGTCACGGAGCAGATCGACTTCTTAGCGGCACGCAAACAGTTCCAGCTGATGGAGAATTCCAGGCAAGCGGTGGCCAAGGGACAGAGTACACCTCGGCTATTCTCTATCAAGCCTTTCTACAGACCTCTGGGGTCCATCAACTCAGAGAAGCCAACAACCATCCCGAGGCCAGCCTGTATGGTGGGATCTCCGGAAGAGAGCGGTGTATCGGCAGCCAAGGGGCAGAAAGCGCCCGGAGTGCTGGAGACCCAGCCAGGTGGAGGAGGCCCGGCCACCGCCACCCCTCAGGGAAAGGAAGGGCCCTACAGTGAGCCCTCCAAACGTGGGCCCTTATCGAAACTGTGGGCAGAGGATGGAGATTTTACGAGCGCCCGCGCTGTCCTCACTGTGGTCAAGGACGACGACCATGGAATTTTGGATCAGTTTTCAAGGTCGGTCAATGTTTCTTTGACCCAAGAAGAGCTTGACTCAGGTTTGGATGAGTTGTCAGTTAGGTCCCAGGACACCACCGTCCTGGAGACCCTGTCCAATGACTTCAGCATGGACAACATCAGTGACAGCGGTGCCTCCAATGAGACAACCAATGCCCTCCAGGAAAACTCGCTGGCTGATTTCTCTCTGCCTCCGACCCCACAGACAGATAACCCCTCTGAGGGCCGGGAAGTGGTCTCTAAGTCATTTAGCGATCATGGCTTCTATTCCCCCTCTTCTACCCTGGGAGATTCTCCATCTGCGGATGACTCCCTGGAATATCAGGCAGGTCTTCTGGTGCAGAATGCCATTCAGCAAGCCATAGCCGAGCAGGCAGACAAGGCTGTGCCCGAAACCAGCAAAGATGGAGTGGAACGGCAGGGACCAGAAACGACTCTGGAGGAAACGGAAGCCAAGGCCCCCAGCTCGGAGAAGCCTCAGAGCACCTTTGAGCCTCCTCAGGTGTCCTCTCCTATGCAAGAGAAGAGGGATGTATTACCAAAGAATCTACCTGCACAGGACAGGGTGCTCACGGAAAGGGGCCCCTCCCAGCTGCCGCCAGCTGTGCCGCCCAGTGGCCCCATCGACATGGAGGAGACCAGGCCCGAAGGGGGCTATTTCAGCAAGTACTCAGAGGCGGCTGAGCTGAGAAGCACGGCGTCCCTCCTGGCCACTCAAGAATCTGACGTGATGGTTGGGCCCTTCAAGCTGAGGTCAAGGAAGCAGCGGACTTTGTCCATGATCGAGGAAGAAATTCGAGCTGCCCAGGAGCGGGAAGAGGAGCTGAAGCGGCAGAGACAAGTGCTGCAGAGCGCCCCAAGCCCCAGGACCAAGACTGCCCCGTCACTGCCCTCCAGAACCTCCTGCTACAAAACCGCCCCAGGTAAGTAGGGACTTCATCTCATACACAGGAAGTGAAGACCTGATTCCTGCTTATGAGTCTCTGTGTGGTGTTCCACTGTTCAAATGGCCAGGGACACTGGCGTGAGGCTTTCAACAACAAGAGTAGCAGTGTCCCTGGAAGTGTGTGAGCTGAAATGGCACTTGAAACTTTCTGGAGGATTCGGTAGTTCCTTGCTGTCATTCTATCTTGGTGTAGGTCTTGGGTCACGACACAGACAAAGTTCTTTTTTGTGTGGAAAGCTGCCTCTTGGCTGAGGGAGCAGCTTTGTGTAACAGCAGCCTGTGGGAGTGGGCACGCGTGTGTGCCATGCTGGAGTCATTCGCTCGACCCTCAGTATCTGAAATTACAAACACCCATGTGATTTGGGAGCTGTGTTCCACTAACCTGCTCGGGATACTGGGTCCCTTCCAGGGATGGTAGCTGTGACTCAGTGTTGCTGATCGGTCTGCAGATGTTTCTTCAGTGCATCTTCTGGGTGACTTGAGTTTACTGTTTTAAGTCACCACAAACCACATCTAGTCACTGAGCTCATAATGGCATTTCAGTTGAGACATAATGTATATGCAATGGTGATCTCATAAGATTATGTCACCTAGTGGCAGCCTAGCCATCTCAGTTCGTGTAAATACACTTCCTGGTGTTTGTAGTGTGGTGAAATTTTCTAACCATATATTCTTTAGACTGTATCTCCAACTTTGAGCAAAGCGTACTGTACTTTGGAGTCAGCAGTGGTTCTTAACCAGAGATACTTTAAGAAGTATTACCTGAAAGCATAATTGTTGGCTTTTAACTTGATCCATTTAGATCTGAATTTCATCTTGACACTTGGCTTCCATAAAATCTGTAATCACACAGGTCACTCTTCATTATTAGGGTTTACATTTTGAGAGAGAACTTTTTTTTTTTTTTTTTTTTGGTGGAACTGGGGATTGAATGCAGGCCCTTGTGCTTACCAGGCAAGCACTTATTCTACTGAGCCATCTCCCTGGCTCCATGATTTAAATTGTGAAACAATCTCAAGCCTACAGAAAAGTTCCCAAGTGAAATACACGTCTGCTTTTCTTCTGAACCATTTGAGAGTAATTTAGTAACACAAGGCCCATCATCCTCAGTTCTGTAGAGCGACCTCAGTTGGGGTCTGTCTAGTGCTTGGCACCTGATGACCTTCAAGTTACCTATCTTTGGCAGGAGTGCCACAAAACTGGTACTGATCCTGACTGTATCCACGCTGGTAGACATGATGCATGTCCCCAAGTGGGGCTAGGTGTTAGGTCTGATTATGTAGTGTTATTTTTGATCACTTGATTGAGAGAGTCCCATGAAAAAGCTATTTTTCCCTTTTATAAATTATAAATATTTGGGTGGATAATACTTTGGGGCTATGTGATCTTTATACTACTCAAAAACATTCACATTTACAAAACATTAAATCTATTACTCATGTCAGTATGGTCTCATGGAGTCTGACTAGATTCAATGTTCAGTCATCTATGACTTTTACTATTTTTATCTTTACTTTGTTCAGATATGGCTCATGGAAGTCCTTTCAGGCTGACTTCTGTGTCCTGTTGATGTCAAAATTGTTCTTTAAGTGCTTCCTTACTTTCTGGTATCACAGGATGTTCCAGTTACACTTTTCAAACCCTGAAGTCACTTGTGTCTCCAAAGAATATTTGTTTCTTTCAGTAAAGAGCAGTGTTTAGAAATAATTCTCTGGGTGCTAGATGCGCTCATTACTGCTGGATTATCAGTGCTCCCAGGCACTTTCAGTTCAATGGGACTGAATTGTAGATTCTCTGTCTGGCTGGCTGACTGTCTATGTGTCTATATGTCTATCTGCTCCCCCCCCCCAGTCATCCTAAAATCTTTGAGTTCTAATCTAAGATTCCAATCTAATCTAATCTAATCTAATGTCTCCTTTTCCACGTTTTTAATCAGCTCTTTGTAACAGAATACTTGCTTCCTATTACACTCAATATAGTAATTATTTTGTCAACCTCCCATCCCCACCGTGTAACTAATCTTCTGTCTGCCTTATCAGCATGGGACCCAGCATCTCTTTCTAGGTGGCCACTGCCATCCCCTTTACCAATGCCCTCCTCACCTACTTTGCCACCAGTACCCTGTGCTGGGTCACTGCTACCCCTGCCCACCCTGCTTTGGCTCCTCTCACATCCACTGTCAGAACCATCATATCCAGCCCCACAGAGTGACTCTGGGAATGACTTGTGCAGGAAGGAGAGGGAAGCGGGGAGGAAAATGAAATGTGCAAGGATGTTTGTGATCCAGTCCTAGGCCATAGAAACAGCTGAGTGCAAGGAAAACTTTCAAGAAAGGCTTTTGTCCATGCTTAACAGTGACAAGTTGGCCTCTTCTAGAAATTTTTCATTGTCAGGTTTACTGGGAATGTTTTCATTGTGAGCCGATGGCACAGAGATGGCAGCTGAGTGTCTTATCCTGGAAAAAAGTCTTTGTACCACTTGATCACAGCTTCAGCTGAAGAACCAACTACACGTAAATGCTGCTGGACAGCCTGTACCGGAGCCTGCAGGGTTACTGATAGAAAGGGCCTATGGGTTCCTCTGCTCACACGGAAGGCAGGTGCCATGGTCTCCTTATGCCTGCCACTTGTAGTTGGTTCTGTCTACCTAGCCCTTGAACTTTATCATCAAACCTCCAAAGGAGACAGGAAATCTCAAAGTACTAACAGACTTGATGTCTAGTGAGGACCTATGTTCTGGTTCATAGATGGCGCCTTCTCCTGGTGGCCTCACATGGTAGAAGGGAAGAGGCAGCTTGGTCTGTCTGGCCTCCTTTATGAGAGTGCTCCTTCCATCCAGGAGGGCTCAGTCCTTGTGGTCACATCACCTCCCAAAGGTCCCCACTGCCTACCATCATCACCGGTCATTAGCTTTCAGCATGTGACTTGAGGGGGTTGAGAAGGAACACCTGTTTTCAGGTCATAGCAGAGGACAGTTTTGGTTTTCTCCACTATATTTCTTAATAGAATCCCTCTCCATATTACCCTTGACTTTACCTTTTTTTCCCTGTGTATTTGGTACAGGGTCTCACTATACAGCTCAGACTCGTAGTGATCCTCCTGTTTTCAGCCTCCCCAGCACTGGAATTACAGGTGTGCACCACCACGCCTAGTCTCAGTGACCAGCTTAGCATGCCCAGAGGTGGGGCTATCACAGCATATGGTGCCAGGGATCAAACTCTGGTCACTATGCTTGCCTAAGCAGGTGCTTAGTCTCCTGAGATATCTCGCTGGCTCCCAACTTCTCAATAGTCTAGTATAAAGACATTTTGATGCTTTCCCCTAGTTTCCCTACATGCAGTTGTCCATCTGGCTTACTCACTAGGGTTAAGGAGGCCTTAAAATGAGTCAGGGTTCTGGTGTTTTCTCCTGGCATCCAGCCACCTACTACCAATGCTCTCAGAACTTCTATCTTTGCTAATGCTGTCTTCCTTTCCCTTGCCCCACCCAGAGAAATGTTTCTTCGTGTATAACATTTAAAGGAGATGCCATGAATTCCAAGATGTATGACCTGTATAGAAAGAACCTGAGTACAAAATTCAGCTTTCTTCCTGTCCGTGCCCTGAAACCTTTGGCATATTGCTTGACCAGCCAGCCTCCAAGTGTATGCTGAAAGAGGAAGCTGACACATGACTCTGTCACAGTCAGACTGAACCCTTCCTGGCCAGGGCAGACCTGCTGGCTCCAACTTTGGTCCTGTGAATGAGACATTGCTAAGTCCCTGCTGCACTACTTCAAATTTTCTGCCAAAAGAAGTGACACAGCTGACCTGCTGTGTTACTCAGATTGATGGCTTAATATTACATGATGCAAAATATAATTTCTGGCATCTTCTCTGGTAGAAATCATGCTGGAATCCTAAAACCTTAAGGTGAATGTCATCCACTAGTACAGGAAGTGATAAGAAAGGAGAGATGTCATAATTTTTCCCATTGATATCTAGACATAGAACCCATTCCCTGGGTGTTGTTATCTGCCTTCTTGGTTCTTGAAAATTCTGCCTTCTTGGTTCTTACCTGACTTGAGGCAAGACATTCCTCTTAGAATTTGAATGACATTTGCTGTACAGACATTAACAAGTACATAATCCCTGTGAAGTGATATCAGTAAACATGGTGATTTTATGACGGAGACCTGGAGCTGAATAAGAAGACCTCCTTACTTACAGGACAAAGGATGTCTTCTTTACTTGGAAACTACCATCTAAACTTCGAACTGGAAGAGAAGTTGGGCTGGGAATGTGGCCCTGGAGAGGCTCAAAAGGAACCGAGAATTTTGTATACTTGAGGCACTTTGAAAAAGGCCACAGTAGGTGAAATGAAGACATTTAAACAAAAGAAAAGATAATTTGGAGCCAGACAACAAGAAACTACATCAATCACATTTACCTTGTAACAGCTGAAAAACACTGAGAGCTCTCCTAAAGCTAATTTTCTCTACATAGTTCTAAGCTGTTCTGCCTTTATTCATAAATCGATAGCCCCAAAGTATTCTTGTTTAATGCGTCCATTACATAAAATTGGGCTGAGCTCTTACTACACACAAGTGCTTCTGAAGGCATGGTGCTATCTTGGAAACTTCCTCACGTATGCGCCCCCTGCTGGTGGTACTCAGAAGTGGGGAGGAGGGGTAGCACCTTGGTGGGCTGAGGAGCCTCATTCAAAGGGGAAACCCACACACTGGTGTAAAAACCCCTGGGGAGAGAACTGGGAGGATAACCAAACGTTTCCAGTGAAGTTACAGTTTAAGACCTTTTCAAATATCTTTTCATGTTAGGGGTGGCCAACAGACAGTTTTCACCTTAGTGTGTATTCTTAGATATCCTGGTTTCACTTCCACATTCTAAGTGTGCCAGTGAGACTCAATTAGTCAGGTCATGCTTGTTGAAAAAGATCCTGTTTTCATGTTAGAAGGTTGGATTAGTCTCCCAAGTCACATA